GTGATAAGGCGTGACGTAAGTTTTTTCACCAATACGACGCCATAAAAAATGGGAAGTGGTAACAACTAATAACAAGAGTAATGGTAGTATATATCTTTCCTTTTATCGAGTCAAGCTGATATTTATCATGATAAACCACACTTTTTGGATGATGAATTGAGACGTAACAATTTAGGTTTCTATCGGGTTGGGGCTGCCATCCCACCTGCTAAGCAATCATATCGTTAGATTTGATCAGTGAAAGAGTCCAAATTATAAAATCCAAACTAAAAAGTGTTCACCGTGCCGAAGAAAATTAGTAGGAACAAATTAAAATATCAAATCATTTAATCTATTGAGATGTAATTGAACATTTTTATTCAAAGTAAACACCACCTGTCTAACACTGCTTCCGAAGAGAGCCACAGTCCAAGAAAGAACCAGCGAAACAAAAGTATCGGAAACAACTTTTGTATATTAATGAATAATTAATTGTCAACATAAATTTTAAAAACATGACAAGAGATTTCTCGTTACGAAATGAGCAGGATTGTGGTTCTATTCCTTTGGCTGGCACCTGATTAACTTTCATCTAAAAACACTGGATAATCTTTTAGCAAGATTGCTAACACGAATAACACTGTTAGCTACAAAGACCAACAAATGTACCAGGAAATCTTGTGTTTGAGGAGATAATTCTATTTTAGTGTAGCTGTCCGGCAGCGCCCTGACCCCTGTCAGACGAGGCCTGCAGGTGACATGTCGTAATTTGCCGTTAACATTTTATTCAGTAAGGCTCATAATGAAGGACCGGAGCTGTCGATTCTTGAGTACTCACTGGAAATCTGTTAGGTAGTAGGTAGGTAGGTAGGTAGGTAGGTAGTTATATAGGATGGAATGTGTTCCATGGTCTAATAAGTAAATCATAGCTGGTTTTGGTCTTAGGTTTGGTATTTTAATTAGTTGGGACAGATAACTTGCACTGGTGGTAGGACCTCTTGTGAGTCCGCACGGGTAGTTACCACCACCCTGCCTATTTCTGCCCTGAAGCAGTAATGCGTTTCGGTTCGAAGGGTGGGTCAGCCGTTGTAACTATAATGAGACCTTAGAACTTATATCTCAAGGTGGGTGGCGCATTTACGTTGTAGACGTCTATGGGCTCCAGTAACCACTTAACAACCATGTGGGCTGTGAGCTTGTCCACCCATCTAAGCAATAAAATAAAAAAAGATAAACTGTTAACTAAGTTGGGGGTCATTGACATCATGAGCTATGACCGACTCCCACCAAGACAAGAGGTCAATAGCTGTCTCAACATCCAAAATGGAAGCCATTACTTGCATTGATTGTTTCCCCTTAGATTTCGACGAGATGGTGGACCGTAAGAACCTACAATAGTAAATTATTGTGGTCGTTTGTGGGAATTTTTTATTTTATTGTCCTTGTAGGCAGACGAGCATGCGGCCCACCTGATGGTGAGTGGCTATCGTCGCTAATGGACGTCTGCAATGTCAGGTGCAGAGCCAAGACGCTGCCTACCGTTAATTTGGATTTGGACTATTGATGATACGGCTATTGATGAGTTGACTAAATTGAATTATTATCACAATGCTATACCAGGAGCATAGCCAATCCAATATCTACCACAAAAACCAGGCAATTAATAAAAATGTCAATGCTAATGTAGTGGTTAATCAATATCGACGGTTGAAAATAATTAAATTAAAATTCCGAATTACACCCATCAATTAGCCACTTTACAATTAGACCGTCAAATTATAAGCCTCCATTACCAAAACGGGATGCTGATTGTTTTGCATAAAAAAACAACAAGCTCAGCTCCACCCCTTTTAATTATTTTGTATTTCTTTTAGAAGCTTATTTCGTTCATCTGTTATAATCTTCGCGGCTTTTCCACCCCCGTTTTCCACGGATTTGTTTTGTAGTATACTGGGTCATGTCATTTTTTTTTTCGTTCGAAAATAGAAAATTATTGTTCCATTTACGTTGAAATAATATTTTACTACGACACATAAGTTTTGTGCCCGTTCTCTTTGAGTTCATAGACGCGATTAAGAACGTAGTTGATATCATCCAAACAATGACGTGTGGCATTACGTTAAAGTCTAGTTTAGATTACAGAGTATGAACAAATAATTACTTACAAGTACGCGAATTATTATCAATCTATTTTTGGGGCAGTGCGAAATAATCGTCAACAATAATTACAATTTTTTATGTTGGCATCACCGGATACTTAAGTTTTTAAACAACATTATAACATACCTCATATATTTTTACAATAAGTACCTACATAGGTTAAATTAATAGTCAAGGTATTTATTAGTATAATTCGACTTACAGAAATGGCAACTTTTGAAGGAAAAAAAGCACCTTAATGACATTTTCATGTTGGCACCTCAGTAAATGGTATTCATACTCTCGCGTACTGAGCGACACGGGTTTTTCTACTAATTAAAATCTAACAATGGCCGTGTTTCAGCGGTAATGCGCAAGTTTTATGTACAAAAGCCGATGTAATGACGCGTCAAGAACACGGACGGCTACACGTCGCCTCTACTAACTTTAGAGACGTATTTTATAAATAAATTAGTTATTGGATTTTGGAGTGTACGCTTTATTTACTCGTTTTTGTGAAGTGCCAATCAATTGAGGTGTTGTTTATTTTTACATTATTATTTAAGTGTCAGTAAACACCTAAGAAACATTTTTTTAAAACAGCGCGATTGATAGTCGACGCATTATGTGTTCATGTTTCGGCAAGAGCCAGCCCGTCTGCTTTGGAGGGTCTTGTGAAAGGCAATTGACGGAATCCACCGGTGAAGGTGAGTGTTGTAGATCATGAGCGTGGATATTTACAATCTGTTCTCGTGAAGTAATCATGCGTTTCGGTTAAAAATGAGGAGCAGCCGTATACATAATGGAGACATCGCCATCATGTCTTGAACTATCCACATTCGTGTTACGATGTCTATGCTCTTCAGGAATTCAGTACGAGATAGTTCGTGGGTAGGACGTGGTAGGTCGATATTGACATTTCAGCGTCGGTCAATTGCCCATCCAAAGAATGAGCTATAATATAAACATTTACAGTGAAAACATATAATTTTTAATTTTTTTTTATTTCTTATATGGGTAAACGAGCTCACAGCCCACCTGGTGTTAAGCGGTTACTGGAGCCCATATACATCCACAACGTAAATGCGCCACCAACCTTGAGATATAAGTTCTAAAGTCTCAAGTATAGTTATAGCGGCTGTCAAACCGAAACGCATTACTGCTTCACGGCAGAAATAGGCAGGGCGGTGGTACCCACCCGCGCGGACTCACAAGAGGTCCTACCACCAGTATTTAAATGAAACACGAATAAAATTTACTAGTCGAATCTCACAAAGTTTCAAATTTCTACGCGATTTCTTCGAAAACCCACATCTACTTGGAGATCGCAAAGGGTACAGTCGTTTAGATGTTCCTTTGAAATGATTCTGAACTTTTCAATTATTTACTGTCAATACCTACATTTTTCCTTATGTACCATGATCACATTGTGTTTTTAGTTGTACATTAGTTCTACTTTTGTATGTGGAACATCTTATGTGAATGAATCATGAATTGTATTAATAATAATTTCTATCAAAAATATACACATATGATTTACTTGAAATACGAAAATCAGCTTTATAAACAACACCACTGTAGTTGATATTCCGCTAACAAAAACTACGGACAATTGGCGTTTTGCTTCTAATAACCTTAAGCGGATAACGTTATTTTTTTACTTATATATTTTTTTATCTATGGCCTTCTTTATATATACTTACGCAAATATTTGTTGGAAATTTTTATCTTAAGAGATCCGAGGTTGACTATGAGAGAACGAAAACTGAAGTTTTATAAATTCAAATAGTTTTTTTGGAACGAAGTTCCTTATGGGACGATGCGGAAGGGTACCCTAACCGGGAAAAAACGTCCGTAACGTAAGATTTTTTTATAATATTTTGGGGGCAGCGACAGATTGGCCGCATGCTCGGCTGCTTAAAAGGGCAATAATAAACATCGATGGATGCTGAAATTTGGCATATTGCGTCAGAGTAGTGGTTATCTTCAAGAACGAAGAAATTATGATGAGAGGAATCATGCGAGAGCAGTATAAGCTTTGTTACTTATCCGTTTGAAAGATGGGATAGCCGTTGCACCGTAGAATCAACATTCCAGCCCCGTGTCTTAAAGTGCCTTAACCCTGCCTATTTCTGCCGTGAAGCAGTAAATGCATTTCGGTTTGAAGGGTAGGGTAGCCGTTGTAACTATAATTGAGACCTTAGAACTTATATCTCAAAATGGGTGGGCATTATAGATGTCTATGGGCTCCAGTAACCACTTAATACCAGGTGGGCTGTGAGCTCGTCCAACCATCTAAGCAATACAAAAAAGTGTTCGAAAACATGTATTGAGGTTGATGAGTCCCAGCAAAGACTTTCCACCAGATGGATCGTGAGGTCGATCACCCTTCTATTGCTCGTGGTAGGCCCGCACGGGTAGATGCCACCAACCTGTCTATTTCTGTAGCCGTTATGCTACAGAAGTCATGACTGAAGATGCGGGTCAGCATTTACGTAGTTGATGTCTATGGGCCCCAGTAACTACTTATCAGCGGATAGACCGTGAGTTCATTCACCCGTATAAACAATGATAAAAAATCATGGCAAAAATCCAAGATTTCTATTATGAGAATTACACTAACCATTAATTATAAAATTATAATAATAGTCCGTTTTTATTATGGCACAAAAGCATTATTCTCGTCATTTCGAGACGATCTTGCAATATTCATTACGAGAAATATATTTGATTATTATTTTCATGTCACTCAAACACGTAGAATTAAAATACAGTTTTAACTTATTATTCATTAAAATTACATTTATTAAACGAGAATTACTTAGATGTAGTTATTATACTTACAATTCTAACATCACACGATCACTAATTATGTACATACGTCATACTGTCGTAACTTCCACGTACGGATCCGAATTCCACTCAATCACCGAATAATTGCTCCAAACGAAATTCCCTTTTAAGCTTAACGGTGCTTCTAGAGCTAGATACAGTATGGCCTTGGCTCCCTCCTCGTATATCTTAGTAGTCCTTCTTCCGTCACGACCGCTCAAGCTTCCAGGGTTTACACAGTTGATTATAATCCCTTTATCAGCCCATTCCCTGTGCTGTAGAAAGGTTACAGCGTTTAATGCGACTTTGCTCACGGCATGCACATTCATGCCCCAACCTTCGGTCTTCTCTATTCCCCTTCTTGCGGCGTGTTCGTATTCTTGGATTAAAGCGACCAGTTCATCTTCTGTCAATGTGGGATCGCTGATTCTCTTTCTTATATCTTCGTTTTCGATTGTGGCTAGAAGACCGGCTGGCCCGGACACGTTTACGACTCTAGCGTCTTCGTTCAGTAGCAGGTACACAAGTTTCCCAAAGTTTATGTATCCGTAGAAGTTAACGCTTAAAGTTCGTCGGATTTTTTCGAAATTCGATAAATTCTTCTCTGCCACATAATCGGTGAGGTTTATCAGCAAATCGATCCTTTCGTCTAGATCCTGGATGTAGTGCCTCAGTCTGACGATGCTCTTTGTATACGTGATGTCCATTTGCAAGTAGCTGATTTCGATGTCGGGCCTCTCCAGACTCTTGAGGATGTTGAAGCCGGCTGTGTCATCTTCTGTAGTGAAGTAGATTTTTCCTTTGTGAGTCTCTGTGAGTTTTTTTAAGACTTGGTATCCGAGGTTGCTTGCGGCGCCGACGACCAGCGCTACGTTGCACATAGCGTCCGACTAGACACTGCTGGCGAGGTTTTGTTTATCGATGTTATCACTCCATCAATCGTCGTGTTATCGGCTTCGTAATGTAGCAGCGAGATAATGTGCTGTTGATAACGCGGACACTTTTGTGGGATGAGATCAGTTTTTTGATGCTGCAAATAAAATGAAACGAAACGATTTCATTTTCAAATACCTGAACAAATAAAAAAAAAAAATACCTATAAATAATCTAAAATCAAAAGTGTATGTCATTTTTCACCCATTGTTATTTGATTGAATTATAAATTTGTTATTGGTACGGATGGGAAGGAATAATGTATTTTAGGTATAAATAACATTATTGAGCTCATTTTAACCGTCTTATAATAATACGGTCCGGTCTGATCGGTGAGATTTCCAGAGAATACAGTATAATTGAAAATTGAACTTATATCTCAAGGTATGCGGCATTTATCTTCTAATTTTTCTGGGCTTCAGTGCTCTCAGTACCACAGCTATACTGAGATACAAATTCACACGCTATTTACAGCAAAAATATACTAGTTTTTTAATAATGAAAATAGTTTAAACTGGTGGTAGGACCTCTTGGGACTCCGCACGGGTAGGTACCACCTAACCCTGCCTATTTCCGCCGTGAAGCAGTAATGCGTTTCGGTTCGAAGGGTGGGGTAGCTGTTGTAACTATACTGAGACCTTAGAACTTATATCTCAAGGTGGGTGGCGCATTTACGTTGCAGATGTCTATGGGCTCCAGTAACCACTTAACACCAGGTGGGCTGTGAGCTCGTCCATCCATCTAAGCAATAAATAAATAAAAAGTTATTGGAAGAAAACGAACGGCCTATTTTCATGCATTTCACGATATTGTCATGCTACCCTGAACATGTATATTGTAAATGACGGCTCAAATTTAATAATCACAAGCGTTGCGGCTACGAACCGTAACATAGTTTGCCTAGGCGAAGCTAAATTTGTTTCTGCCTGAAATATAATGTTGTAGTGAATTACATTATAATTAGAAGCTCATAATTTTGGGCCGCATTTTATGCCTTTTGGTGAGCGCCGTGGGCATAACACCGGCAAGATGGTCAGATCTGGTTAAAAAAGCGGTCTTTGGTAGTCTATACCATGGACGGCAATGCCACCCTTGAAATAACACTGTGGAGGAAAGTCACACGTGATCGCGATCCTCAGCAGCGAGGGAACGATGAAGAAAAAGAAGTGAAACATAATTTACCGCAGCAGTAAGTGGTGCTATTTGCTTCTAGTCTGTTGTCGCAGGTTCTAGACTTAGTCTCCGATTATATTACTGGTGATAGGCAGGTATATAGGTTGAATGACAGTTTGCTAATTGGTACGGCATTCTGCTTATTTCTGCCACGAAGTAATCAAGCTCTTCTTCAACCCGTGTCCGCCTAATGCTGAGTGGAGGTCTCTTCGAATGCTATTGTCTTTGTCTTTCTTTTTTTTTATTGCTCTGATGATTGGACGAGCTCTCAGCCCACCTGGTGTTAAGTGGTTACTGGAGCCCATAGACATCTACGACGTAAATGCGCCACCCACATTGAGATATAAGTTCTAAGGTCTCAAGTATAGGTACAACGACTGCCCCACCCTTCAAACCGAAGCGCATTACTGCTTCATAGCAGAAATATGCAGGGTGGTGATACCTTCCCGCGCGGACTCACAAGAGATCCTACCACCAGTAATTACGCAAATTATAATTTTGCGGGTCTCTTGCTTTTCTCATCCAGTGCCTACCAACCACTTTGATTAGATCATCGGTCCACCTCGTTGACTGTCTGCCCACGTTACGACGTCCAGTACGAGGTCTCCACTCCACTACTTTTGTGCCGCATCAAAGTAATCAAACACTTTCATTTAAAGGCTAAATAGACGGCTCGAGTGAATAAATTATGACTGACTCGGTGGTGCAGTGGTTAGCAGCCATTACAGTTGCGCCAAGGGTTCGATTCCGCTTCGGTTATACATTCGTGTGATGAACAGGTTTTTTGCTCTTTGTCTGGGTGTTTATTATCCAATAAATATATATAAGTATGCATGTCAGTCTCTGTCATAGCACAGGGAATCCTAATTTGGGGCCAGATGACTCTGCGTGATTTGTTCCCAGTTTTTTTTATATTTTTTTTAATTTTTAATACGCCCTCTTCGTTCTGAGAAAACAAATTGAAACATCTCCAAATAAATACTCTAATATTGTAAAAACTTAATTAGCTAATAGAAAGACTCCACCTAATTAATTAAGAAAACATTTTAGCTAACGATGCTTGTATTATAATTATGTCATTCGTGATTTATTTCACAAATATTTGTTATCAAATTTTGTCTACGCAGTAAACAAGTAATGATTATATCGCTATATTTCTTGACTTATCTTAAGTTGTTTTTTTGCTATTGCCATTCTATGTGTACAGGTGTGTGGCTCATTTAATGGTGGTCACGGATTATCTATTGGTTAGTACTAGAGTAGTTTCTAGACCATCGCACCGCCCGCCACCGGAGTAGAGTTCATCCATACTACCTGGAGCCGCTGCGGTCATCCACAGTGCGTTTCCAGAGATCTTTTTTGCCACGTACCATCCGGCTATGGAATGAGCTCCCCTCCACGGTGTTTCCCGAGCGCTATGACATGTCCTTCTTCAAACGAGGCTTATAGAGAGTATTAAGCGGTAGGCAGCGGCTTGGCTCTGCCCCTGGCATTGCTGAAGTCCATGGGCGACGGTAAACACTGACCATGAGGTGGGCCGTATGCTCGTCTGCCTACAATAAAAAAAAAAAACTCGATTCAAAAAGGCATATATCCGTGGAGTTCTTTCAAAGTCGGATAGGAAGGAAAATAATAAATAATAAAAATAATAATAAAATAAAGGAAAAAATTTCGTAAATAATAAACTATATTCGCGAATTGTGATTGGGTGATTCGAATTACTGACCGACGAGGTATTACAAATTAAATATAAAGAGTTCTTTTTTTTTTTTTAAATTGTAATCAACGAAAACAGATAAGGCAAATATGTGCCAGTTTATCAGAATCATGCGTAACAATATCGGTTACGTAATACGTAGTTCTATGTAAGATAGTCGCGTTAGTTGAATTTTAAATCTATATCTATACTAATATTATAAAGAGGAAAGATTTGTTTGTTTGTTTGTTTCGAATAGGCTCCGAAACTACTGGACCGATTTGAAAAATTCTTTTTCCATTAGAAGCCGACATTGTCCCTGATGAACATAGGCTACTTTTAAAAAAAAAAAAAAGTGTGTGTGTGTCCGCTCCGACGCACGACTGGAGTTTACTGGATATAAAAAATTAAACGAAACAATACGAGAAATAGTTCTATATTACGACAACACGATACACTACAGATTATTAACAAATTAACGAGACACAAAACAAACGACTAACAAATATATGAAAATACAATAATGAGAGAAACGCGCGATCAGTACGAGGCTTTGTGGCGGACTGCCGGCGCAGCAGCCCGGCGTCACCTGCGATAACGCGGCCGCGCGTTGGCTCCTGATTGGCGCGCGCACGCATCACGCAATCAGGAGCCAATCAGGCGCATAACGCATTTCGTGTGACATGCTAGTACGATTTTGGTCCCCATAATTTTCATACCCCGGGCCTATATATGTAAATCGATTCTTAAGGAGTAAACTCCAAAAATTTTATTTTTTTGATTTCATGTGTGTTTTAATGTTTCCGAAGCGAAGCGAGGGCGGGTCGCTAGTCATTCAATAAACGAAGCCAGCATTGTGAGTTGCTAAGTCACGATGGCGCAGTCCTGTATCGCCAATATATAGGTATTTATATCTGCCGCGAAGTTTTCCTCGTCACGCTCTGAAGCATATGGATATAAATGTTACAATAACTGATATGTTGAACTCAGGTTTTAATTTGGATGCCGGCACTCACGCTGTGGTACCTTTTTTTTAAATTGGCATTATAGGTGGACGAGCTCACAGCCCACCTGGTGTTGAGTGGTTACTGGAGCCCATAGACATCTACAACGTAAATGCGCCACCCACCTTGAGATACAAGTAAGCTTTTTTGAAAAAAATTAGGGATCTTCACTAAAACTCCAATAATGTAACCCAAGATGTAAAAAAATTACCTAAAATATTCTTTACATCGCGTGCCCTGCGAAAACTATTGATGATAGAATAAAATAATGTACTACGACTTTATAGAACACATTATTATTTACAAAAAGTGTCGCGACAGTACATGTCTATTGTAGTCATGCCGCAATAAGTGTTCTTTTATTTAAAAAAATAAAAAAACGTTAAATATCGTTGAAATTTTTGTTAAATACCCAAGCGGAGCCGGAGCGGGCCGCTTGTTGTTAATAAAGACTGCCCCAGCCTTTTGATTAATAACGAATAACTGCATCGAATTAGAAATGTTTTGGATGGTGAGCTTACAAAATATCCTATAATTAGTTTGATCTTTATGTATATGTAACTAGGTATCATATTAGTTCATCGTTGGAGTCATTCCTGAACACTTATTAAGTGCGTCTTAAAAACAATTTGATCTCCTGGTGGGATTTGAACGCTGATATAGTTGCTTAGCTTGATACGAGTACATCGTCTTATCTTTTGGACCATGACGACTTCAGCAATGACACTTATGCTTTTTTTTTTTTTTAATAACAATCACGCCACTTTAACTTTTCCCGTGATAAGTTCGTAAAGAACTTGTGTTACAGGTAACAGATAACGGAAATAAATGTAAGATTTTTATTATACACATACATATATTTAATAGACATCTATAACCCTGGAATAGACATTTATATTTATCATACAAATATCTTCCCTTGGCGGGATTCGAACACGCGACCCCCTTGTGTAGTGACCATGTTACTTACCACTACATCAGACGGCCGTTAAATTACAGGCGACGGGCGTTATGTTTTATTATCGCGTACCGTTTATCTAGCGTTTGGTATTTGATTAAATTATCGAGTGCTGAT